GTAATACAGGACACTTGCACACAGTCGTTAAGTTTTATTTTATTAGCCTGATGTGGATTGCGAGATCCATTCCGGTGGATAAATGTGGATGGCGCAACTGAGAGTTATAATAGTGGTAATTATCAACACACAACGAGGTAGTTGGAACTCGATGAATCTGATTTCTTCGTTCTGCATCTAGCTGAGTCGAGCAACGTAACGTATATTCTACAATATGTCACAAAATGTAAATTGTAAATGTAGACGTTAAACTTGTAGGACGTGTTGACGACAACTGTTGGATACACGAAATAAGAAGAAGAAGAATATTTCCGTTGGTTTCCACGTTGGTCTGTTAATTTCCTCGTCACGCGACACGTACATTCGTTAAAGTATGGCCACGTGGTAGAGGCGATAAGTCGAGCTTATCGGCGCTTGTTCGATAATCCGACATCGAGTGGTCCTGAATCAAGAGTGGCGATGAAATGAAGAGAAGGCAAACGTGCCCGAGGCTTTCGGAGGGTGGTGGGAACGCGAGGTTGAATAAAGGGAGCCTTCGCACCCCGAATGGAGGAACTCTCCGGGCCGAAGATCTCGAGTCCCAGCGGCTGGTATTTGCCTTAAGTAGAGTTCGAATCGACGGTAAACTTGTTAGATGTGTAGCCGCGGACCTGGTCTTAATCCAGCCAGAGATATCGTCCGGTATCCGCGGATTAAAATCCGCACTTTAGTGCACCCCTGCCGCGCAGATAGTGCACGGTTGTTGTCGTCGTTTTAAGGGAGCGACTCGGTTTTCGGAGGGGGAGGGAGTTCGGATATAGTCCGGGCAGTTAAAGTCAACGCCAGGGGCGCACCGAAGCCATTCCAAGACCTAACCCGGACAGACCGGAGGTAAAGCCAGACCACCACCGCCTAGTCCTTCCTTCTCTCCCTTTCCGCAGGCCACGCAACCACGGCTACGACCTAGCTCTCGCCCCTAAGCGCTCATGCAAACGACCTCGCGGTCGAGCTTGCGAATTAACCGAGCTCTATCGCGGCCACCGTGCACCGTCTCCGCTGAAAAATCTTCGCCGTGGTGAAATCTTGACGATCCTTGCCAGCGGAGAGACGGGGATTTATCTTTTCGTTTATTCCTTTTCTCTCGAAGCGCTCATCCTCCGCTCTTCTCGTCAGTTTCTTTCTCAAGTTGAAGAACGGGTCGAACATTTTGATGATACTCTGAGAATTATAATTCACGATATTGCTATTCTCGAACAGTCCGGTATTACGATTCTTACACCTGCAATTTAAATCAATCACTGTTACTATTGATCATTTTCAATTTACGATTAATTACAATTAATCTCCTTGCTATCAGTTGCAATTAATTCTCTTACTATTTTCGACACGTGCCTCCGTTGCGATAATTTTTGTCCTTCCATGAAAATACTGAATATCTCGCTTGATTGAATTTTAGATAAAAAAAATTTCTGGATCTCGTATTTTCAGTTACATCAAATCGGAACCGAAAGCCAAATCAGACGACCGATGACGCGCGACATATAATCACGTTTATTCATTTTGAAACGTACACGAATGAAAAGTGCACAGGCTTTGAGAGAAATGAAGGTTACTTGTTCTAGTCGTTCAAATCAATTCGATTTTTCGACCGAAGCTACATATACAAATCCTTCGCAGGCACCTGAACTTGGAAATTTCAATTCCAGAAATTAAACTGACCGACACGAATGTCGTTTTCTTCTAATTCTTATTCAGATTAGGTAACATCGGGTGTCGTATGAAACAAACAAAAGAAATTCGTTTTTCGATTTTCCATTTATCAACGAAACTCTTAATAAAGACAACCGGTGCTTGCTATACGCGTCGCAGAAATGCAAATTAGCCGTCAGAATACGCAGCCGGTGTACCCGGTTGTAGAGCGAGTGGCTGTACAAAAGCGAGAAGAAACGAGAGGGGAATCAAAAAGAACGAGACGGTTAAAACGCAATCTGGATCGACAAGCAGCGTGAATAACAATGACGGGGAGTTCAATCTAAGCCAGCCTCCATCGGAGATCGGACTTGCAATTTTAAGTGTCGCGGGGGCGATGTTGCGTTCGCGGGCCTGATTAAATTGCGATTCCAGCGGCGGCACGGCATCGTGAATAACAATGAAACGACGAGCGCAACCTGCCCTCGATTATTCTATGACCGGTACACGTACTTGCCGATGTCTGGTCCACTCCGTGGCAACGAAAATTCCCAACCCCCCTACGTCCGCGATCGCACCATACCGCGAGCGTTTTCTCGCTTTATAACTTCTAACCCATTACCACACGAGCGCTACCTTATACTAATGCTCGTATATCATTCCAACCCCCTCCCCCCCCCCTCGCCGTTTTATCACCTCAACCACGCCGGCTTTCTCAACAAAAATATGCATCCGGCCAAGGAACCGCGCATTATTCGAACCGAGAGATATGTAAATCCGTGATATAATACGGAGACTATCCGAACATTCCGTCGAACGGTGAGAGCCCAACGCCGATATACCCGCCGCCAACCATTTATTTCCGATAAACGCTACTTTCGCGTAGATTTCGCGAGAGAGAGAGAGAGAGAAGGGGAGATGGGGCGACCGGTTAAGGAGATCGAACGAACGCCAGGCGAACGCCCTTATTTATCATCCGACTCGAGATACCCGAGTACGTAAAATTCCGGCCCGATTCTCTCGGAGCACGCGCGAGAGATCGATTCGATCCTCCGTTTCCTTTCTCCACCCCCTCTGTCAATCAATGACGTTCGAGAAATCGGCGAAATCTGGCTGGCTTGTACAGGCCTCGGCCTGTTTAATAGCCCCTAGCCTGTAAGCTTTGATCCGTTCTTCCGTTCGTCTGTCGTTCCATAATTGATATTTATCGATCAGCCGGCGGCGGCAGAAAACGGGGAAAAGTACAACGGGAAGCGCGCGGATATTGAAACGACCTCCTCACCCCCGACCGTCGATTCGAAGTCCGACAGTTTTTGTCTGAAGTACCGCATCCAAAACTCTGGGGTATCGGCTAATTTAAAAGTTCCCAGAAACTCATCTAGCCTTTAGTAGCCTCGGCCAAACTCGTCCCGCGACCTTCTGTGCACGATTCCTCCCTGTCCATCGATGGGGAGGGGGGGGGGGGCGCATTCCTCTCGCCAACCAGCTTCCGCTCTCTCTGGTACTTTCGTTGTACACCGTTACGTCCTTCCGCTTCCAACAACCGCTTTTTTTTCCCATCGAAATCACTTTCCACGAAATTTCGTTTCCTCTATGGAAGAAGAAGCAACGTGCGCGGTCCAGTGCGAAAGCAAAAGCAATTGCTAGCAGAGGACGTCTCGTTGCTACTCGAGTTACTTGTTACCCTTGTTTGGATCCGGGTTATCGTGAAAATATGAAACGAAACAGCGTATGAAACGATCACCTTACTTGAATTTTAATTGAAACGAAATAAAATGGAATGAGAGGAGCAACGTTGCATATATCCTCGATTCTCGTTTAATATCGGTTTCATTACGTACCAACGAAGAGTAGAAAGTCATATTGACAAGAATTTATCATCGAAGTCGAAGAGCCGGCACTGTACGATATAAAAATTGATGAATATTCCAATGGAAACACGAGTGCCAAATTACTGAATGATATTGAAATGCAAATATGTAAATATTGAAACTTTCATCGATTATCTGACACAGTCGAATCTCGATTATTCGACTCTCAATACAAGGAAAAATATCTTTGAGTTATGAAGTTTTGTAGTAAGAGTGGTCGATTTTTCGACGTGTCGTTCAATAATTGTACGCAAAGAATATTGTTAGAATTCACAGTTCTGAAAAAAAGGAGATAATTTATTCCTTTAATATTTCACGACAATCGCAGAATCAGTGACTCCATTTGGTCGATTGATTACATTTAAAAGTAAAGCTCGACTTGGAGAAGTCAAACTTCTTCTGAATTCGAGTTGTAAAAGTAAAATATAGACCAAACGCGTGTAAATAATTCGCGTTAATGCAAGTTTATATTTCAAACTGTAAAAGTTTCTACGCCAAAGCGGAAAGGAATGAAAAACATTTTCATCTTACAGAGGTTTTCGATAGTAGTTGAAGTTTGTCGAGATTCGACTGTAACACGCATTTTATTAGATTATTGCAAGTGAAATGGCCAGATTCATATATTCGTAACGCTTATAACACTCGGAAAAATAATATTGATCAAATTTTGATTCAAATACACATTTTATATTTTATATTATACATTTCACCCGTTTAAGAATATTTTAACAAATATTACAATATTAAAATCTTCTCAGTTGATCATTTTCCAATCGACATCTTTTACATGAATATTTATTTCGTTAAATCGAAGTTTTAAATTTGATAAAACATACGTTCGAATAGGATAATCATTCGTACTACATCTCGATGTTATCTACCTTTCTGATAACAAAACAATTAATCGCCAATTCAGCTTCGCGTCTGAAAAAATATTGCTTAACAGCAATTTTAATTGCTACAGTCTGAACGATCTTACGCTTTTGTGAAATTGGCTGTTTCATACGCAACAACCATTTTTCCTTTCCAATACCATGAATCTAATTTCCTTTCAAGCGAAAGGAGCCTCGATTTTCTCAAAGACGTTTTTAAAATTGACCGTTATAGATTGTTGTTATACCGATGTGTACCGCGTTGTATGACGACGATTTGTTGCCGTGCGAAAGAGAGATATCCGTAAGAAAATTCGTAACCTCCCGTACGCGATTCGGCCTGACGTTTTCGTAAATCTTTCGCGGCGGACTTCGTTCCGTTCGATCGACCAGTTTTGTCGAGTCGTTTACCCGGTCGAACGTTTTTCGGCGAAACGAACGCGAGAACAGAGTTTCCGTTTCCATTTCCGTTTCCGATTCCGCTTCCGCTTTCGCGGGACAGCGGCGAATAAAAAATTACGAGCTCTATATCTTCCAGCGAGACGTTCCCTGGCTTTGGTTCTTTACGGTTCGTTAATTTGCTGTGCAGGTAAACCGGAACCGATGGTACGGTGGCTCGTCAATGGTCAGGTCAAGGACGAGGAGTACGAGAAGAACGCCGGCGACGTCATAGAAAATAGGTACGTCATTTTTTTTTTTTATCGTCCTTTCTCTCATCGAAGATTTACACAAATGAAAGCGATCGTGCTAACAGTTTCGCACAAAGTAAAAAAACCCAGGTTTGCCTTTTTAAGTCCAGATTGTGGAACATATACTGTTTAACTGAAACCGAGTAATTAAATAATTTCATATTTAATTAATTTTTGTTTTTAACGTTAATTCAATATTTAATTAATTTTCATTTTTCGCGTTAATTTAATATTTAATTAATTCTTGCTTTTAGTGTTAATTTAACATTTGATCAAACGGGTAATTAAGTAATTTAATTAATTTTCGAACCAGCTCCTACATAATTACAAAAATTTTACATTGTGAAAACGAGATATAGAGCTTAATGAAAGAACTTTTTTTCGAAAAGTAAGAGCATGCGTGAGTACGTTTTGTAACCTGTACTGTATGTCAAGAATTTTTGACAATATCTCAAGTTTTCACATACTAATAAACTTTTCGAATTTGTCAAACGCGTTGGAGTCAAGAACAGAATATTTGGGCCACTAAACTAGTCCCCCATTTGGGTTATATTCGTTGCACCGACATTAATTTCTCACTCACAGTTTGTTGACTTTTCTACTTCTCCCATCGTCTGTTTTTCACTTCGTACAATTCACTCCTGTACAAATAAGTAACGCAACATACCTGAAATTCAACTTATAATTTATTCGTACCACCGCGAGACAACGCTCCAATTTGTTTTCACTTCACCTTCCAATCATTTCTTTCGATCTCGACAGGCTGACTCTGCAGTCGATCACCCGATCGGAGCTGGGGTCGAATTTCACGTGTCAGGCGAGGAACACGGACCTGATCGAGCCGAAGGAGGCCTCGATTACCCTGGATCTTAACCGTGAGTAACAATTATCCCGTCCTTTTTCTCGATGTGCCGGCCATAAAGAAAAAAAGAAGCAGGGGTAGAAAGCAGGTCGAGGGATCAAAAGCGAATATCGAGGATGGAAGGGCAAAACGAATCGTTCGAGTCCCCGGGGTTAAGAGCCCTGTGGCTCGCCGCAGGCGATGGCGGAACGTCGTTAAAAGAGGAATGAAATAAAGACAAGAAGTAGATACAAATTCTTATCGCGTGGCCAACAAATCAGAAGGCCTCACCCCGGGGCCTATCTTGTCCCGCATTAACGATAACATCTACGAGACAGCAAATGTGGGCCAACATCCTTTGCTCCCTCGCCGCTGTGAATCGCCTTTAAGGGAAGATAAGGCAAGATAAGACGAGAAATATATTAAATCTTGCCTCGAGCCCCACCTCGTTCGTCTATCCTTCTCTCTCACTTTCTCTCTCTCTCTCTCTCTCTCTCTCTCTTTTTCTCTCTGTCTTGTTACGAGAAGACGAAGAACCACAAGAACAGGCAAACCTCAGGCTTTCTCAAAATTAGAATTCTTCGTTAACTCGCAACCGTCCAATAACCCGGAACGACGATATACTAATTTCGAGAGTAAACTGAAAAATTCATGGATCAATTATCTAACCTCGCGAATCACGGCCGCGCTGTTACGGCTGAGAGGGGAGGAAATCTCGGACGAGGGGGTGGAATTCGCCTAAAGGAAAATTCGTTTCCTCTGCCATCGTCTACATACTTACTGGATGAGTAAACACATTCGGCGAAATTTCCACAAAATAAAATAAATACACAATGGATCCTCGGTCGTTGAACGATTTGACGTTCGAACGAAAAAAATTCGGGGAAATTCGGTTCTGAAAATCGAACAAAGAGTTGCATGAATGTCAGCCAACGAATAAAATTTAATTCGTTGTTTAAACGTCGATCGAGACTGTCGCTAAAATTACGAGAGTTTGTCCAATTTAAGTACCTTTTATATTTAAACTTTTATATTTCAAATACATTTATATTTTTAGAACAAACTGTCTGATAGTAACTAGATCATTGCATTCTATTCTGGAGATCCAACGTTTATCCGATCCAAATTAATTAAGATATTCGAAAAATAAAAGTTTATAGAAGTTTATATCAATGTAAACTCGAACTCGGATTTCCAAAACGAAAATACTTGTGTAAGTAAAAAGTAACATTTATATTTTATGTTTCTTTATAAAAATGATATCGCGTACAAACATATGCATACAACATATTGCGTATAAATGCACATGCATATTAATTTTGCTTAATTAGAAACGACATTTATATTCAGTTCAATTATAATCTAATTATCAGATCAGATTCCGCTGGATCCACACGTGTATGCTGTCGAGTTAAACGTTCCATATATGTATGTTTTGTACAAATTATTTAAAATTTCCTATATACCGGCGGAAATTTTGGTGCTCCGAAACGGATTGATTCAATTCGGCGTTATTCCTTGCAAACATTCAACTCGAGAGTCGAACTTCTCGTTTGCCAGAACGCAAGTTCAAAAGTCCACCCCCGTGTTTGCCGCGGCGCTCGAAAAAGGGAAAACACGGACGACAACGACGAGCAATGTGATTGATCAGCACTGAATGATCGGTGCTTCCGAAAGTCAGAAGATTTTCGACGAAGCGGATGACGAAATTGAAGACCCGTTATTGGTGAACGAGAACACCCATCATAGCGACGAACGAAAAAAAGAGAGAGAGAGAGAGAGAGAGAGAGAGAGGAAAAAAAAATTCTGCGCTTCGTGTGCAGAGATAACGAAACGAACGCTGAACGACAGAGAGAAAGAGAGAGAGAGAGAGAGAAAGGAAAGAGATAATGAAACAGAGAAAGAGAGTGTGTGTGGAGAGTGGTTGCAGCAATGGTGTACACGTGCATACGTGAGAGAGACGAAACGATGGGGAACGAGGAGGGGGGGAAAAAAGGGGAGATTGATCGATGCTCGCTCTTTGATTTTCGCGACCTGCACCAAGTGACCATGCATCGAGCGTGTATTCATCTCATGGCTGGTGGAACAAAAAACGAAAGAGAAATTAAAAAAAACCCCTGAACGGTGACGAGGCGAACGGTTGCAGGGCTGGACACGAATACCGGGAAGGGGGAGGGCAGCAGGATAGACGAGATTGCGGATAATCGAAAAGGTCGGTGGATTCTGGAAATACGGCAAATCAAATATTTGCGTGCACGCCATCCTCGTGTGATGTTCGTTTAAAAGTTTATAATACGTTGACGACGCGTGCAATTTCTGCGTGCTCTCTATATTTCTCTTCTGTTACGTGTCGCCCGGATCGATCGCGAAGGGGAACACGAGACTCGCTAATGCACCGTTGATGAATCGCATTAGATACTGGAAAAAGTCTCTTGCTGCGTCTTTTTGTTAATGATCAAGTGAAATTGAACGTCGGCCGATAATTTGCAAGTGTAATACATGGACTGCGGATGTTCATGCAAATTTATGTCGAAAGAAATGGGACCGGTGTAGAAATTTCATTTCGCTGAATTTTTGAATGTTCTTGAATTTCATGAATAAATAGTCGCAGTGTAGAAAATGCTTAATCTACTATCCGAAATGTATAGCAAGCTCGGATAAATAGATGCCGAGCTCGGTTCAACTGAAAGGAGAGCTCAAATATTTTGAAAAATATGAATAATTACAGAAATAAAAATATGAACATTACATACATAAAAATGTTTTACAGTATCGAGAGAAAAAAATGATATAATACTTGATCTCATATTTTATATGATTATTAGTCAGCGTGCTTATTCAAAAGAGGCACTAAAGTACGAGCCGAGAAGACGAAGAATTGCGTAAATCTATGTACATGTATTCAACCCACAAGTATGACGTGATGTGAACAATTTCGTGATGCACGCAATAACACGAAGAAATACGTATACATAAAATATTCAAAATATAATACCCATTATTATTATTATCATTATATACATTTTTTCATATTATTATGAAATTTTCATCGTCATTATTATTAAATATCAAATATTTAAATATTTTTAACAACTACTAGGTTCCATTCTTTCAAACATAAAACCTCACAAATATCCGCAGTCTGGTGACACACACGACAAAAAAGGAAGATACACCTTCACGCGCTCGATTTTCATAAATTATTCATTAGATGGACGTTTTAAAATTATTTTCTCCCAAAAATCGATCTTATCTCGGGCACGTAATTTTTTCCAGATTGTCATTTCAAGCGAAAAGAAACGCCACGATCCGCGAGACGAAACGGGAGCGCAGGTTGAAATGCGGGGGAAGGGAGAGGGGAGGCGCGAGAAAAACGTCGAAACTCATTATCGCTGGCAGACGGGGACGAGCCGCGAGAGCAGAGATGAAACGGTGGCGGCGCGCACGAAGCCGCGCGGAATCTATTCCTCGTAGTTTTCATATTTCACGGACGAACGGGTCGTGTCTGGCCCGGGTATTGGCCAATTGGATACACGGATTTATCGTCCGTCAAAGCGATCGTCGCCTCGCTCGGAAACAGTATCGTTCCGCGCGTTTACACACGCGCTGAAAAATCAATGTTTGCACCCTCTCCCCTCCCTCGCCCTCCCATGTAACAATCGTTATCACGGAATCTCCCCCCCCCCCTCCCCTCCCCCCCCGGAAAGAAATTGGCAAATAATTTGCGATCGGATCTCCCCTCCTTTTTTCTTTTCCTTCCCAGCGATTGACGACGCGTCCGCCGATATCTCCGGCCGGATCGGTCGGTCGATCGATCGATCGGATCTCGCGAGAGAAAGACGGAGGATCGGCAAACGGCTGTAAAGTATTTTCGCGCGCAAAGGCCTGGAAGCGAATCGCCCAAGGGCCGCACGAGTTACCCCTTCTCCCTGGCTCTCGGAAATGACAAATGACTGGCAATCGACCTGCCGGGTGGTTTCACAACGTTAAATCGGCCGCACGATTTGCATCGAGCTCACGTATACTCCACCTCTCACCCCACCGGTGCTCGTTTGTCCGCCTTAATTATCGGTTCACTTTAATTATCGCGCCCGATTAGCGGTCGACGGTGGGCGCGCGCGATTGCCGGGCTCGTTGGTTCGAGGAAAAAAAGGAGGAACGACGTCGGTCGTTGGGCAAATCGATCCGACGATCGGTCGATCGATCGACAGACTTGCTGAACGGAAACGGGATCGAGCATCTCGCTATCTCGAGCAGAACTTTTCGATTCTTTGTAGATACATACATAGGGTAATACATCGCGTAACTTGTGTAATTACTCGTCTAATGAAAAATTGTCGTAAAGTATCTCCTCAACCGTTAGATTTAGGATCAATCTAGCGGGTTCATACTTAGAATTTGATATTCTTTCGATTTATGATGAAAATAGATGTATAGTTTAATTTAAAGAAATAGACCTTGAAAATTGATGACGCCATGATCTGCTGCCCCTTAAGATCACACAACTTTTGTATTGAACAACTTTTCGTTAGACGCGTAATTAAAAAGTTATTTCACGCGTGCAAGCTACGTGAATCATCCTGTATATTCCGAGCGTGCTCGAATCTGTATGGAACGAACTTGGAATGTTTGGCGAGTACTTCCTCGCGGGAAAGAGAAAACAATATCTTCGGGTAGAGTATTGATTTTTAAAGATTGGATCGAGTACTTCGCAAGTATGTAAGTTGGAAACTCTTTTGCGGCGGAAGCTGCCAACGGTGCGCGTGGAAGGTTATCGACTGGACGAAGCATGTTCCTGTTTTTCTGCTTGCGATTTCCAAATGCTGCATCACGATACGGGCGAGATCTCAACTTCAGTTTAGCAGTGAACTCTCCCGCGGGATGCGTTATACGAGACGAGTGCATTATCAGGCGAATTTGCGAAAACAAAGTACGAGCTACAATGTCTAATACATCTTTATTAGATTCGAGTGAAACGACGCGTTAACGCGCAAGATGGAAAAGCGTTTTTAAACAGAGGGTCGAGAAAACAACAATGTCAAAATGTTGAATTTATCTTACGCTTTACACAAGACTGTTTGTCGGATATCAGTCGCAATTTTTCCATCGCGTTGTACGAAAGGCCACCGTAATTGAGAATTACGTTTCATTTATGTAGAATTAATTGATAGAGATGAATCTTCCTCTATGGCATTGTAAAAGCTGCAATTTGGCAAAACAATTAACAATACGTCATGATAAAATCTTTCAACCACTTGCGCTGGCAACTGATTGCGGACCATAACGAGTGACCAAAACCGTATACAATAATTCGTCGCCTCCTTTTTAAACTCGTCGGTATGACATCACCGGATGGAAATTATTGAGAAATAATAAATTTATTATTTGTTTCGCCTGGGTTATACTTAAATATACTTAAAACTGAGAAAATGTTGCAATTTTGGGGCAAAAAGTTCTCGACGTGCGTGGCAAAGAGGTTAATGTACGTGAAAGATTTTTGATTCGATGAATCATGCTTCCCCATTATAGTCAGCGCCCCAATAAATTAAACAATACACACAAAATCACGATCTTTCGATTTTGTGTAATAAACCCAGTGTGCCGCGCATGATCCTACGAACACTGATCCTTCGAACCGGACCAACTGTGTCAAGTTGACCCATTCGAGCGAACATACTTGACCCTTCGAGTCAGGTTCAGCGTACAGGCATTGAACTTGACGCGGATTTATAAAATAAATGTAGGACTCTATCGTCACTTGTTGATAATACCGGTTGCTTGATCTTCCAGTGAAACCGTTGACGGCGACCATAAGGAGGCCAGGGAAAAAAGGAGTGGGTAACGAATCACTGCTGGCTGGGAAACGGTACGAGGTGGAATGCGAGACCACCGGCTCGAGGCCACCGGCGGTGATAACTTGGTACAAGGGACGAAGAAGACAGCTGAAACACACCACGGTGAGGAAAAGAAATAACGAGCGCGTATTCGGAGGGTTAGAACCCCCTCAGACTCTTTATCCTATTTCGAAGGTCTCGCGTGCATCCTTTTGTTCCGCGGGACAAAGCCCGATTCCCTTTGGTACCTTCTTTCAGCCGGAGTTTCCCCTTCGTTTTCCCTTCCTTCCTTCTTCTTTTTTTTTCTTTTTTTTTCTTTTTCGTTTCATCTTTCGTTGTTGCGTGAAATAAACAACGACTAAGCCTCGTTGGAAGTGGAATTCCCTATAAGCCTCGAGTGCAAGTGTTTAGGTCAAGACAGTGTATGCGTCAAATGTCTTTCGATTGGACCGTGATACTGTTTTTCCACATGCGCGATTAAATTTCGTTATTACAAGACAGAAATATGTAATCTGTGAAATTAGAACTACCAAAATGGTCAAAATGACCAGTTCGTAATTTTTGCTGGATATTTCATAGATGTAAAACAGAAATTAGAAATCTTAGATTTTTCGTAAAATGCAATGCGAATAAAAGCTTGTGTACTTCATTGTATCGTAGAGTTTTCTATCTTTTTTTTTTACTTTAACATCTCTGATGGAAATTTTACGTTTAGTATTAAAGGCGGTTTTGTGTACACGTTACCAACCAGGTACACTCATTAAATAAGAATTTCCAACACGAGTATATTTGTTATATTTTAAATATATTCTAACACAAAAACAAAAACTAAAAAATACCAATAAAGTCGCGAATTAAGCTAGCAACGAATGGGTCAAAAAAGAAAAAAAAAGACCGCGACTGCCTCTGCTGTATCGACGGTTTTCTAATTTTTCCTCTTTCCTTGAGCAAGTCACCAATACTCGCGTCGCTAGTTTAATTTCCGGGTCGCGAGTTTCCCCCCCATTGCTCGTAACTCGTACATCCGGTGGACGGTGTAACCGTGGCTGGGAAGACAGCGAGGCCAGGCCAAAATTAAGACGGCCGCGGTCTAATTTCATCGGCTGGGAAATTCGATTTTCTCGGGGGATAATTCCATGGCGTTGGTATAACGCGATATCGGCCGTGCTGCCACCGCCGAGAGACCCGGCTAACTTATTAACGTGTCGCCGGTTCCCGAAAATATGTGTTTCCTGTGCGTGACCGGGCGCCGAGGTCCATTATCCGCCCGACTACACCCCGATAATTCCCTCGTTATCGCTTTCTAATTATTAAGCGCATCACCTTAACGAAATTTGTCACGTTTGCCGACGCCGAAGGAACAAAAGGATGGCCGCGCGGCATTTAATTAACAGCTAAGCTGCTTATTATAGCTGGTGCGCGTTGCGCTCGCTACTTGTTAATTAACCTGCCCCCCTCCCGCCGGGTCCTCGAGGGCCGGACGCAGGCAGCTACGATGAAATACGGTAACGCGTCCTGACACTAAGGTATTTCAATTTCACTTGCCTCGAAAATTTAAATCAGAATCGTCCCTGTCCCGTAAATTACGACTCGCTACTTCCGTAGTCGCGCGCTCCCCCCCCCCCCCCCCCCCCCCGGCACCGGCTAATAATCGGCAGTAACGATTAAAGACACTCGCGAAAACGCGTTCCCTTTTCCACGGGCGGGCAAAGGCAAAGCGATATTATTACACGACGATCGCAATGGGTTCCTCCCCCTAATTGAAAAGCGATCGTTTAGCAACGAATCTTATCGAACACGTCGATATCGCAAGTTGAAGCGACGAAGTGTATTTCAAACCGAGAGAGAAAGAGAGAGAGACACCGGCTCGGTGAATCGTGGCCGGCTCGATTTCTTCCCGCCAGTGGCTTGGGAACCGGAGTATCGAGTCATTTTTCGAGGAAGAGAAGCTTCTCCGTCGTACAGAAAGAGAGAGAGAAAGGGGGAAGAAAAAGGTAACGAGAGAGCGGAAGAGTGAGATAGAGGGAACGGTTGAAAAGGTCGAAACGCCCCGAGGAACCGATAACTATACCCCTCGGCGGTGAATCTTTTCCACCAGAGGAGAGAGATTCTCCGCTCGGAAACAGAGTCAAAGCGGCGAGAAGACGGGGACGTTGAACGAGCCGAGAACGACGAGGACGCGTCTCGTAGAGCTTAGGTGTTCGAGGTGGTGCACAGTACCACCAGGAGGAAAAGAGAAACGCGGATTGGACTCTGGCAGGATCGTTCGTTCCTTCGTTCGGCTGGCGTTCGATTGTGCGAAAGAGATTGTCGGAAAGGGGAGCTCTGGCTCCTCCGCTTGCAGTTCGAAGCGAGGTACACCAGGATTGAAAGGTACGATCGGGGCCGGTGCTTTCGAGGCGCGACGATTGAATTAAGCAACCCCGCACCTGTCGACTCCAGATATTTTCATTGGCGGCATGCTAATTGCCCATTATGCAACACCGATTTAACCGTCCCGCCGCCGCGAAACGTTTCTCGCCTCGTTCACTCTCCCTCTGTCCCCCTCGACAATCTCCCTGATCATTTGCGATTTTCTCTACAATGTCTTAATGAAACGTGTTATTCGTAGAACAAGCCTATCATCATTCGTATACATAGTATCGGAGAGTACACTTTTACTGTATTTTTCACTTTGTTTAACCCTCCATGTCCCGATGATGCTTAAAAGTATGCCACTTTTGCATCATTCCAATGTGACAAATATTTTAATTATGAATTAAATTATTATTATTGTTAAAAACTATTTTCAAAATTATTATTCTTATTGTTATTGTGACTATAATTAAAATTATTATAGAAATTACAATCAAAATTATTATTTAAACTATTATATATATAAATTATTATATTTATTATTATTAAATCTATAATTGAAATTATATTTACAACGATTCCTGATGATACTCGAAAGATCAATAGACGATCGATTTGGGAATCACTGGAAGATGGTATGTATGTATGTTCTTGCTTTATCTAGTATACTTCACAATATAATATAGTAAAGCCTCTCTTATGTGAACCCTCGTTTTTTTTTAAATATTTTAACATTATTATACCGTCGGAACGTCTGTTGTTAACTAAAAGATGTTACATTCTCAGGGTCAATTTTGCGACCACCATCGGTTCGAAAGTGTAGAAATAATTCTATCAATAATTTTATTTGTTTTTAAAATTATTATGCATGTATAATATTTTTTTTTTTTTTTCTTTCTCCATGCTTTTGTTGGAAAAATTATTAATTTCTGCAGAGGACGGTACGAAAGTAAATCAAAATCATTAGCGATATTAAAAGATCTGTATATTTCACACACAGTAACGAACGCCCGAACTTTCAGCCGTTGGTACACATCGAAAACTAGATAACGCCGCGCGTATGTACGAGCCAATTTCTCGATACTTTTATTCACTCTGGGATATCGATAGTCGAGAGTTATTGCAAATATAAAGGTTTTTCATTTCATTTGAAATCGAAAAACAGGAATGCCGGCCCGTGCAGTAATCAAACGTGCATTATTTTCATACGGTATTAATTTCATTCAATATTTGCCGCTTCTATTACACCACGTGTATAGCGTACACACCGTTACGAAATACTTTTTCAGTCCGTGCGATATTTAATAACAACCGCCTTGCACCAGACATATATTGTTTGTATTCCAATATTACTCGCGTATAATACCACGGTTTGCGGGGGAGAGAAATGAAAGTGAACGAAAATCGTGATTTTCGAGACGAGCGAGGTACAATTCGATGCTTTGCATAAAATAAAATCTAGATGATTTCAATCGCTTTTAAACATTACAATGTCAGAAAATGTACAATTTTCAACACGATCTTGGACGTTTAACGAAATTTGGACAGAAACGTACGCACGCGGTGACTCGAACATTTACTCCGGAGGAACTTTTATGTTTATTGTAACGTGTGTCGAATAAAATATTTCGAATACGGCTATTACTATTATATTTAACTTGTATTACCATTATATTTAAATTTGGTACGAATCTGAAAATGTATAAATACAGAAATACACAAGTCATGAGACAAAGAGAATATATGCCGAATATTCAATTGAAAAGTTCAAGATAGAATTAAGATTTCGACAGTTTGAAGTAGATGGAATTGCTTGTGTTTAAACAAACTGAGTTGTTCAACTGAATTGATGTAATTCTCAGTCGAAATTTACTTCCGCATTAATTCTTAAACTGACAACTGCCTTGATCTTCTCGCTTGGAAAAGTGATTCGAAAATTCTGTCGATCAAGCACATTTTTAATTCAACTATGGAGGACTCTGCTAAATATAATGATATTTCCAGATCATTTTCGACGTGTGTTCGCTGGGACACACGGTGGAAATTACGATCGTTTACAACAACAACGATGCGTTTTCGCAAAGAATTCGTTCGAGTCGACACGGAGAGTTGGAAATTGATCCGAATGGGTAACGAACGACCCGGCGTGATTTGCTGGAGATGGCCGGGAAGATCGAATCTCGAATTTCCTGTATTTCGGTGGATCCGATACGATGGAAGAACATCGCGCGGTCGATCCGTCGGGCAACGACGGAATTCTCCAACTCGAAGTTGCGATATTCGACGTTTCCAATAACGCGGCTGCGAGGAATGTCACTATTGGCTACGAAATGAACCTGCCAAGATACATTCGGTGTACGAAGGGTACGAGACCCTTTGTTCGCGGCAACGTCGCGCCATTATGGTGTACGTCGATTCCAGAGGAAAATGTCGAGTCGTTAGAACAGATCGCGGCGACGTAGTCACCCCCGAATACACACATTATCCTGCACATTTACTTGTAGATTTGTATGAAAAAATGAGTAGAATTCTACGATACGATTAATAGATATCTGTTATAATTACAAAAGATGGGTTGGAAATTTCTGGATATTCGGAACTCACGGATCACACACAAGAGAGCAGCGACCGCCAGTTTATTCATAATCTAATGTACCAGGTGTCGCTAGTTCTGTTGCACAAAAAAAAAAAAAAAAAAAAGGAAATATAGAGCGGGAGATTAGATCTCTCCAACGATATCGATAAGAAGAATAGCTAATATTACAATA